CTATTCAGTATTTTCAACCCATCTACTTTTAGTTGCATTCTAAGGTATTTTCAGAAGTACCTTGGTTTACTTTCATTTTCTCCTATGACACTGAAATATCTCAGTCAGTAGTTTCTGGCTTGCTGCCATATGCACTTATGAGTTATGCATTTCTAACAGTAAAATTCTCTCCTTTTCTTATGAGCAGTATAACTACCATAACTTTGTACCAGGTGAAGTGAAACAAAACTGTTGTGTAGATTTTGATTGTCTTCAAGTTGAAAACTTGATAATTAACCTGAGTTCAAACACCTAACATTTAAATTTAATAAAGAGAAATTATTCTCTCCAGCAGCAAGTCAAAAACTAATGCAAAGAGTTTGTTAGACTCTATCACATGGTAATCTTGTGCGCACATGAGTGTTTCCAGTTTATTCTGGCTCATTCATGCACATCTTCACCCATGCATCCTTAAATTACACGTCTGAGACTCCTGGGAGATCAGATGGGCAGTTATGACTACAGGTCAAGAAAGTTATCTTATCCTCAGTAAGACATGGATGAAAGTTTGAAAACTGCTGCACTAAAATCAGGCACGGCATGTCAGAACGTTTTAGCAGCTTGAGCAGCAAGGTTGAGGAGCCTAACAGGAATCAGGAGCGCTGGTGGTGTAGCGGCTGAGTTGGGCTAACAGCAATGTCAGCAGTGCTGAACTATCAGCCGCTTCTCCAAAGATGGGGCTTCTCCTCCCATCAACAGTATCGGAAATTCAAGAGGTAGTTCTACCCTATCCTGAGTTGGCATTGATTAAATGGTAGTGAGTGGCTTTTGTTCTTTGGAAATAGGAAACCAGACCAATGGGAGTGAAGAGTTTATTATTTCCAAAGGTACCCAGGTATAAAAGGCTTAATTGTTGTCAAATTTGTTTTTATATGTGAACTTGGAGGTCAGAGATAATATCAAGTAGGAAATACTGAATTCTTACGCAAATAACTTTTTATAAACTGCATGCTCCGTATACATACTCTTATGTAGGCTGTTATGTGCATGTGCACAAATGCATTGCATGTAGAAAAATATAGTAAAACGACCAGATTTGCAATTTAGTAAGGTCACTTCGGCAAGAGTATTGAAGAGATCAATGGGGGCGGGCTGGGACTAGAGCAAGGAAACATTAGCTTACTGCATTAATCTGGGTCTGAAGGAAGGAGATTAAGGCAGGTAGGCAACCATCTATGGTGCTGCTATATTTAAAGTGAGCCCTCAACAGTGGCAAGTGTAGCAACTGAAGTACGTCGGAAATGCAGGATCTTGTGCCTTATTACCTTCTGACTCAGCAACTTTCTCTGTATGCCATCTCTGGAAAGTACCTTCACGTATCAGGAATCGCACCAGGGGAAGATGTTGGGGGTAGTCATTCTTTCAGGAATGTTTGTTGCTTGTGGGACATCCAATGAAGGAGATCTGTAATTGTTGGGTCTATAGGTCTGGATGTTGAGCTGAACTCTGGCTTGAAGATGAAGCTTAGTTTTTATCAACTTGTTGGTATCTGAAGCCCTGGTCTCACCCAAATTTCCTGGAATTGATCCAGGACAAAGTACGCCCAGTCAGTCAGGTGGAGGGCTCAAGAAGGAACCCTCAGAATATCATTAAGTCCCACACATGAAAGGTATCATATACACTCATATAGAAGCCAAGTTTTTCAGCATTTTTTGTGGTCAAATTAGGTGCCTTGGCTATTCAGGTTGGCTTATACTGGAGTATATACGGTACTCAAGGCACAGAAGGGACTTCAGAGTCAGGATGGTCACTCTCATTTTCTAGCAGCTCATATAAACATAAAAGTCCATTGGATTTGACAATCTTGATGTCAGAGTAATGGTTAACAGATGGAGTTATTCCCTACTTAGTTCTTATTGGTCATAGTATGTGGGATTCAACTCAAGAATTCTGCTTTCCAAGTTCACTTCAGAACAGAATACATGGGAGACTGGTGTGGAGCCAATGTGGAAGTGCTCCTGTTTCCACTGGTTAGTAAATTCTTTGTGGCATAATGGAAGGCACAAAGGGCTAAGACCCATTTCCAACCCTCCGAATTCATAGCAAAATAGGAAATAAGGCAAATGACTGTAGAACACAATGGGGCATTAAAATTTTATAAAACAGTATGAGAATTCAAGGAGGAATAAGCTATATTCAGCCAATCAGGAAAGGCAGCTTATTTCTTTGTCCTCAGTTGTTAACAGACTTCCCATACTACACACAAAATATGACTGCTCTATTAATTGTTGACTTTTCTTGCCAACAAATATGGTGAATTGGTAATGGAGAAAAATCCTTTTCATTGCAAAATCCAAACAACTTCAAACTCATTCGTGAGATATTTATTAAAATAACACATTTAGGGAAAAAAAATCAATACAATGTATACATCATTACTGAAAATTGTATACCATCATACAAAAAAGGATTTTATTTTTGGGAAACTGATTTCTAATGTATGGCGAGTTTCACTTTGAGAGAGAAAACCACAGAATAACATGATCTAATCCAATCTTAGAGGCTGGCATGCTGAGCAAGGAATGTTCTTATTCTCTGTAGGAGCTCCTTCTTTACACTGTCAGGTACCAGGGCTGAAATCAAGAAAATAAAAACAGAAGAGTAAGACAAATCTAGTGAATATGTGTCAATTTGAGATTTGCTATCTTATTCAGAATTACTAAAGAAAAAAATTTATAAATGACTCTCATGCTTCAATAAAATACAAACAAATATATCAGGGGTAGATATACGCAACATGATTTTAATCAACAATGGAATAACTAAACACTTTGTACTTTGATAAGAAGAAAGTACAGAGTTAAATGAATAGCAAAGTAGGCCTTTTTCAAACCCAGAGGTTGTAACAGACTACTAAATTTGTTTCAAACATAGCTTAACCTTGATCAAAACCATGACAAAGGCAAAAGCAAAAACTGGGGAAAGGTTCTTATAGAAAAGAGCAGCTCTCTCTACTATGCAATATCTTCAAATTGACAGAAAAAAGACCAGCAGGCAAGTAGAAAACTAAGCAATGGAGATAGACTATTCACAGAAAAAAAGATTTAAAAATTGTTCTTTAAAATAAGAGATGTTCAACTCAGAAGAGAAATAAAAATCAAATCCATACGGACACAGCATGTTTTACCAATCACTTGACTGAAATCCAAAGGCTTTGGTAACACACTGTTGGCGAGGGAAAACAGGCACTCTCATTTATTAGCCTGTGGGAGTGTAAATTGGCACAACAGTTTTTGGAAGCTCATTTGGCAATATTTTATTGAAATAACAAATGTGCATACTCTGTGATTGGCAAAGATGGACAACATGCTGCAACAGTACTTGTATTTGTTCTAGTATTACTTTTTGAAATTTGAGCCATAAACCATTCATAGTATTTTCTATTCAGAATAGTAAACAAAAAATTAAAAACAAAAAACTCCCAAAACAAAAACATCCTTAAAAAATCCCTGTATTTTGAAATTTTAATACTGAATGTCAATCAACAGATCTCCACTATTGTTTCTCCTTTTCTAGTACTAAAAAAATGAAGCAATGAGGGAACGAACTAAAATTCTAGTGCATTTGCATATGTCCTGGAGAAACGGCACATTTCAAATGTTTCAACATTTCAATAAATACCGCAAGTACACAAATCAAGGAAGACGGACAACTTATGTTTAGTTTATGCCTGCCTAGAAATAAAGTCTTCATCATCACTTATTCAAGTCCTCAGGAAATATGATCAGTAACACATATTAAAAATATTTTTACTCTTAATCAAAACTAAGGTGATGGAAAACAGACCAGTTGCTGGGAGTTAGGGGGTAGGGTGTGACTATAAAGGGATATCTTAGAGGAAGTTCTTATTTTGTTTTGTTTTTTGTTTTGCTTTTGAGAAATGGAACTCTTCTGTACCTTGATTGTAGTGGTAACTACATGAATCTAGACAGGTGTTAAAATTCATAGAACTGTCCACTAAAAAAAAAAAAAAAAAAGGTCAATTTTACTCTATGTTAATTAAAAAATACGTATGTCTACTCTTGACAATAAAGACTAAGAACACAAAGATACATATTTATTTTTACTTCTCTTTCCTTATATGCCCATGTAATGGACTGAATTGTGTCCCCCACCCCAAATGTGTTGTAAATGCTAACCCTTATTTATATATAATGGTTATCATCCATTTGGAAATGAGTTTTTGTGGTTATGCTAATGGGCAGTATTCGTGTAGTCTGTGGCTTAAGTCATTCTCTTTTTGAGATGTACAAAGCAGATCAGGCAAGGAAAGCATCAGCAGGGATGGGTGAAGAGAGATGCCTCGCCACATGAAGATCACCAGTCACTTCTTAGGCAGAAGCAAAAAAACGAGCCATGGAACAGAAGCTGGAGAGAGACAAAGAGTAGCACGCCCACTTTCAGAGAGAAAGCCTACCCTTAGAGCCAGCACTCTGAATTAAGACTTCCAACCTGCTAAACTGTGAGGGGAAAAGTTAACCTAACCGTGTGGTATTTCTGTTGTAACAGTCCTAGACCATGACCAAGACAGTCATTCTCCAGCAGGGGAGTTATGAGAACTAAATGTCTAAGATATAAGCATGCTAATGGAGAAGTAGAGTAAAATTCTCAACCTGAATATTCAGTTCCTAAATAATGTTACATATTAAAAAAAACTAGAAAAAGAAATGGGAGAATTATTTTAAATTATTCATAAGGGGAACAGGAAATGCTTAAGTGTTTTTGCTCCTCTTCCTGAGGCATAATTTAAAGCCCCGATATTCATCTGTCATAACCTTTACTGCCACCAGGCTAAGAGTTGGTTAAAAAAGACCCACGGGAGCCTGGAGCATTTTCCTAGCTGATAGCACTTAATCACAAGTGCTTTATGTTAATACTACTCAAATTTACTTGAAATCGAAATTTGTTTGATCATTTCAGTAAGAGAAAAATCCCAAGTCGCTCAATTTAATGGCTACCAAGTTCTTAATGAGATATTCAAGAAGACAGAGCTTGGTTCATGTCCAATACAGAAAGAGAGCAAAGGAAAGAAACAGAACAGGAATAAAACTTGGAGCTTTGAAATATTCATGTGGTTTGAAGTCAGGCCCTATCTTGATAAAGTTAATATATCCTAGCTTCAAATAACATTTCCTGCTATAAAATCCCATTTTCAAAAATTATACAGTAATGTTAACTTATATTTGTAAACTATTTGATATAAAAAAAACATGATATACCTGTTACTCATTTGTTATGCAAGAATGGGCGAGAGAAGCAGGCAGGCTGTTATAACTCTTCCCACCTCAATAAATTGCAAGTACCCAAATAATTATGCAAAGGATGCTTCTCCTTATGAAAATAAATAAAACTTGAACAAGGAAGAAGAAAACAAAAACATGTCTTTAAGCCCATGTTTCCTTTAAAAGTTTCCATTCCGTACCTCGGCCTTTTGGAGTGATTTCAGCCACCAAGTCATCAACAGTAACGTGTTCTAGTCCTTTTTCTTTAATTACCTCTTATGCAAAAGCAAAAAACAAATCATATCATTTAAAATCATTATCTGTAAGAAAGATTTTCATAGAGGAAGGGTTAAGATGATGTTTTTACAGGATACTGTGGTCCTCAAAAAAAAAAAAGAAAGAAAACAGATTCTTTGCTAATGAAGACCATTTTGCTCAAAATTTATAGTACATTTCATAATATCCAGATTAAAAAGACTATTAATTTCTTAGCTAAATTATGTATAATTTAATGAAGAATTAAAACACTTAAAATATGAACTTTAATGTTCAAGTTTAGCACTTGGAACCAATTCTCATTCAGCATAATTTATGTCACCATAATCTTACTAGGTCTTATTAAAGAGGATTTAACTATTATTTAAGTATAACTTAATAGCCAAAATTAAAATGCAAACATGTTTGTTCTTTGTTCTTTACTCTAGGTTAGGTCAAAAGACTAGGAAAGTAAAGAAATTAACATTTACTGTATGCTCATTAGGAGCCCTGAAGGCACTGTCAGATAAGCCTGGATTGCTAACCCAAAGGTCAGAGGTTCAAACTCACCAGCTGTTCCTAGGGAGAAAGATTAAGCTATCTGTTTCTGTAACCACTTTAGTCTCTGAAACACTTCTGAATCAAATCAATGGCAGTGAGTTTGGTTTTTATTGTTTGAGCTACATGCTTTACATAATTTCATGTGCAGAATAATCTAATGGATTAGGTATGTTATACACTTCAGAGAAAAAAGTGAGGAAACTGAAGCTTAAAGATTAAATAACTTGAGTTGCTCTCTAGCCCTGGCTCTTTACCAGTTACGGTCTGCAGGACTCCAAAGTCTATGCTTTTCTTAGTTTAACACGCTCACTTCTTATGGTCACTGTTATAGCCTTCTTCATTGGCATTCTGTAAAAACCACTACAAACACAAAGGAAATTCAGTAAAAACAGCTAGAATTCTATTATGCCAAAAGTTGAACCCAAAAGTAAGGAGAGGCACTTTGGCGATACATATAATCTATCACGTGGAATCCCCATATAGCAATTTAAGATTCTCTAGAATTTGATTTTTTTTAAGTAACACTGTTTGAGGATAAGAAGGATAGAATTCCTATGAAAATCTGTCAGCTACTTAAAACACTAATGTTTCACTTGGAGTAAGAATACTAAAAAATATTGGAGTTTACTTTGAAACAAAGCACACTTGCCTCATTTAAGAAACAAACAAGGAAATAACGACCTAATAATTAAGAATTCACACACATACTTCACAAAGGAAAAGAAATCATTACTATAAAATTCTACTTTCAATTTGTGTAATTTATGCTTGACCACCCATAAGACCTTAAAGTACTATTACTATTTTTTCCCCTCATACACCCCAGTGTAGAGCAATGGAATTAGTTCAACTTCTAAAGTGATTACCTTTACAGTGTGCTTTCAATTGATCCTTCCAGCCACATTCAATTAATTTAGCTCTCAGCAATTCTTTGAGGCTGTTGAAAAAAGAAGTGTTTTCAAATTAAGACTACAATAATGTACATTTTAGATAGAGGTGTTTAAAGCAACTAAAAACCCTCTGCCTTCCAGTCACAGATTTTTACCTTGGCTCTACCGTGAAATAGTTCTATGGCCTGTCCCAATCATTTAAACTTGGGGTCTCATTTTCATCTCAGTAAATGAATTGAATGGGCTACAGTTAATTCTCAAGCTCTACTTCTGACTCACTTCTACTTTCCTTCAACAACAAAAATATAATCGTGGGTCTTTTGCAGAAGTTTTCAGCGGCTATTATTGGTTGAGCTTGCAAGTTTTACCTTTGCAATCTTCAAAGATACAAACACATTTACCACAAATTCTTACACATCTAGTTCTGACTCCCCTTCCTTTTCTTAGCCCATCAAGTCCTTCTAAATTACACATTGATTATGGTAGTTCATTGATTCTAAGAAAGTTTCCTCCCCACATCTTAACAATTCAATAGTCGGCATGTTTACAATGATTTAACTGACAATGCTTTCTCTTTTCCTTAGTGGCAAATATGGGTTATTCAACTAATGGAATCATTGATACAATCAAAGATTTTCTGGTACTTTCTTATCCTTTTGCTATAACCACCTCTCGAACTCTTCAATCATAAGCCATATAATTTCTTTGCTTAATCACACAATGTCTAAAATCAAACCATACTTCTTTTCCTCAAAAGCTGCTTCCCTTTTGGCATTCTTAGATATATTATCTACTATGTGATATTTCCATCATGGTATTTAACTTGGTCTTTCAATCTCAGGAGGACCAAAATATAACTTTTAATTCTTTCAGTCTCAAAATGGAAACTTCAGGCTTCTAGGTCCTAAAGTTAGAAACCTTGGCAGCAGTCTATTCTCTTCTCGCTTGTTAATAACACATACCCAAACCAAGATCAATCCCATAGGCTCTTTAAAAAAATACCTAGAATCCAAATATTTCTCACTACATTTGCCATCACGACCCCAGTTCATGCCATCACCTCGTCCGGACTAGTCCTACAGCTTATTTTGTCTTCCTGTTTCTTCCCTTTTACAAGCAATCTTCTTTCCATTGGTGAAAAATCCCAGGTGGTTTGCCAATTTTCTCAGAATAGCAAGTCTTTACTATAACCTCAAAGACCCTACACAATCTGCTTCTCTACTAGCTGTGCTTCTAACTTTCACACCTTTCTACCCCTCCAGTCCATTAGCTTTCACATGTTCCTCAAAAATGCCAGGTACATGTCTGTTGCAGGACCTTAATTCTTGGAAGCCCTGCACCGTGGTTTCGTATCAGTGGCAGTCTACTTCCTAAAGATTTACTGCCTAGAAAACCCCCTTCAGGGGCAGTTCTACCCTGTCCTTTAGGGTTACTTTGAATTGGAATCAATGTGATGGCAGAGGTTTGTTTTCTTTCCGTTTACTTTCTGCTTAAGTATCCCTCAATCACTTATCACCATCTGCACAATCATTTACTGTCCGTTCCATCCCATTAGAACACAAGCGCTGCTAAAGCACAGTCCATCTCGTTCCCTCTTCTATCTCTAGTACCACAAGACCTGGCGTATGGTAGAAATGTTAACTGTGAGCTACAATGAATGGTAAAACCACCACCACTCAGAATTTGAACAATCTCCCATATCCATTCGTACGGACAACACCAAAGTCCAGTGCCCCAGCGCTTTGTTCCAGGAGCCTTCTTTCCTATCACTCACACAGGGCAGCAATTCTTTTATTTTTGCTCAATATACCTTTGATAATCTTTTTATTTTTGTCACATAGCTCATCTCTTTCAAGTCTATTCATGACAGAATAAAATTCCTAAGGTGTAAATTGATCTAGTTATTCCCTTACATCAGATCTTTTAAAGACGCCCATCTCTCAAGGGTAAAGAGGAGAACAGATGCTTTTGAAAATCCCACCACTCATTTTCTTGATCTGTCTTTGAGGGGGAAGGAGACCTGGCCATTTTCTATGTAATCCTGGTAGGGTTCTAATAATAGAAATGGGACCCAATTTGACCTGTTACCTAAGTAGAATGGCAGCCAGGCTAATTCTCTGTTGAAACTACTGGCAAGAAGGTTGTCTGGGATGGAAGGACGTAAATTTTGAATTGCTGCTGGCCATCTCTGCCATTTTGAGGGTAGAACTTGCTTGAGGATAAAGTCAACAACAGAGGAAAGCAGAGCTGAGGGGAAAAGAAACATATTCTTGGCCACAGCTTTTGAGTGCCTGGATCCAGTGGTGCTTGAAGCATTTTCAAGCCCTGGACTTTAGAGTTCCATGAGCTTGAAGTGTTTCATTTAAGTTGGTTTCTGTCACTTCCAATTAAGGAATTCTGACAACTGCAAAACCTATGCTCCTCTCAATGGTATAAAAAGGCTTGGCTCTGACTCTTTCCCATTATTATAGCCACAAGGTTTCACATTGACTCCTCTAGCCCTCACATAATTACAATTACCCTGAATATGATCATGCTGTTATTCAACCCCTCTGTTCCACCTGCCGACAATGTCTGATCTTTACTAGCTCAGAGGACGTGTAATTCTGCTGCACCAGCGCAACTTCCTTTTATTATCCTGAGACCAGGGCTCATCACCTTTTAACTCCTGGTCGAGTTGAGGGGTCCCTCCTGTCCCATAAACATATTTCTACTGTACACTTTATCACTCTTTCAGGCAACCTTGCTTGTAATCCTAGTCTCTCCTTTGTACCTGCCAGCCTATTTACTTTTCCAATATTAACTTGACTGATTATGTGCCAGGCATAGCACTACATACATAAAGGTATTTCTAATCTCAAGAATATATTTTATTAGAGAATACAAACTGGTAAAGTAGGTGGCTACAATAGAATATGCTGCAGCAGGACAAATTAGGAATAGAGTTCTAAAAGAGGCGATTATCTAAATTAAGATGTGGAAGATGAGCTGATGGTGCCTAAAGAGGAGAAAAAAAAAGAGAGTGTTTCAGAGAACAAGATTCATAAATGCTGGCTGCTTGGAGGCTAGCAGAGATAGGTAATTCAAACTGGTTCTTTCTGGTCTGTTAAAACGTAGGTAACATTTTGTCTTTAATTGTGGCTACTTGAATGTGTACTTTTCTTCTCCATTAATTATACATTCTTTGTGAGAGAGTAAGAGTCCTGGTGGTGTAGTGGTTATGCATTGGACTGCTAACTCTAAGGTCAGCAGTTCGAAACCACCAGCAGCATTATAGGAGAAAGATTGGGCTTTCTACTCTCAAAGAGAGTCTTGGAAAATCCCAGTGGCGGTTCTACTACCCTGGTCTACAGGGTCACTATGAGTTGGAACTGATTCAATGACAGTGAGTTTGGTTTTTTGGTTCGGTGGGAGACTACGTATATATTCTAGTATAAGCCAACCCAAGTATCAGCTGATGTACCCAATTTTATCACAAAAACTGCATTAAAAAATGTGCTGAAAAACTTAGCTTATACACAAGTATATACGGTAGTTTCTTGGTTACCTTTTTCAGAATTCTCTCTCCTACAAGTCTTTCAATATTGAACAGACCTAAATTCTTATTTAATACATGTTAGGAATGGGAGGAGCCCTGTTGGCATAGTGGGTACATACTGAGCTGCAAACCATAAGGCTGGTGGTTCAAAACTATCAGCCCTCAGCTGTTAGCAGGAGAGAGAAGGTTCTCTACTGCAGTAAGGAGTTACAGTGTGGGAGACCACCAGGGCAGTTCTACCCTGTCTATAGGGTGTCTACACGTTGGTACCACCTCGACAGCAGTGAGTTTGGTGACTGATTTTTCCTTGGACATCAGTTTATTCCTTGATATTTAGATTCTTATAAAGATTTAAAAATATAATTAACATGATCTATTACTTACCGCTCTCTTTCTCCAGTTTCTATCAACTTTTGGTTAATTGCTGCTCTCATCTGCGCATCTTTGTTCATCTTGCTAACCTGAACATCAACATTTATTTTCAGATATAAAACACACATCATTTTCTTCTAAATCCTCCAGGCAGTATCCTAACAAGTTTCACATTCTGCCTTACAACTGAGGGGAGCCTAAGTTTCAGTAAGCTGTGTTACAGTATCATGGCTCTGCACACTTGATCTTAGGTGGCTCTTCACGTCATTTCTCACATCCTAAAAAGTCACACGATGAGCTCATTTTTCAGGTTTGTTCTCATGTACTCTATGAGTGAGTCTTTGGACGATGGTAATAATATTAACATTTATTAAGCTCGTAGACCCTAATACTGGGCTAAGCACTTTGCATTCACAAAAGCAAAACCCAAATATTTAATTCCCAGAATAACTCTATTATGTAAGCATTAACACCAATTTATATTTTACACATGAGGAAACTGAGGCACAGAGTTAGAAGATGATGAAGGCAGGATTTGAATTCTGGCACTTTGACCACTCCAGAACCCCGAGAACATTCTACCTGCACATCCCAATGCACAGCTAATCACTTATGCACATTAACTGCAACAGAACTTGGGAGAAACCATACAACTGAAAAATCAGTGAGATTAATTACTGTGCGTTAAGAACTGAAATTATCAGGCACGATGTGAAGCGCTTTACTCTTCACCAGGGTGTGTCCAGATTTAGACTTAAGTGCTAAATTAGTTGCAGGTGACAGAAAAATAAATCAGTTCTTTCTCGATACTTGGTGGGCTAGGGGCAGGCAAATGCCAAATCAATTCATAACTTAGAAAAAGCTCAACTTGCTATTAAAAACAAAAACGGCAGCACAAAAACACAGGTAACGCAAACCAAAATGATGTAGAATAGTTAGGTTTTTTTAAATTTTCAAGACGCTTAAAAGTTTACATTAACCTGGGCATATGCGAACGTCTCCCCCCACGCCCCAATCTCCTATGCACTCGAAACGACTTTGTTTCCCCATTTCGCCTACGTGAAAACTTAGGCTGGCGATGAGGAGTTTCTCCGAGTTGGATAATCTTTTTTGAGGACCGAGAAATGAGGGATCAAGCAAGGACGAAGGCATGTTTACGGTTGTAGGAAGCTAACGTCCATCAAACATTAGGGTCTCGTCAAAGCCACTGCTAGAATGTTGCACTTGCTTTTGTCTTAGCCCCTCAACTACGGGTAGTGACCTTGGGCAAGTCACTTAATTCTTAAAGGCCTCAGTTTTCTCACTGGTAAAAGGAGGGCGCTAGGGGAATCCTCCAATCCCTCCCAGCAGACATTCTTTGGGAAACAGCGCAGGGCGGAGCCAGCGGGAGAGGCGGGGGGAGGGGGCGGAGCCAGAAAACAAAGCGAGCACTGGCTTCAGGCCAACTCCGAGAGCACGCCCTGTGGAGAGCCCTACAGGCCCGCGAGCGCGGGTCGGGGAAGCTAACGAGAGACAGCACATCGAAAGGAGCCTGGGCTGGGCCCGGGTCCCGGCCCTGAGGACCACGGGCATAGCTCACCACCATCACCGCGGGCGAGGGCCGTCCCTTCCCAGCGACGAAATGACCCTTGCGCTGACGACCGTTACCTACCACACTCTTCGGCTGCCCAGACTTAGACCCTCAGTAGCTCGGGCACCTAAGCACACAGAGAGCTAGCACACGCATTTCCGGGGCGGGGCCTCGCCTGCCTGCCTATAAGGTGATAGTTTAACCAGCGCGGGCCGCCTTCTGGTCGCTCAGCCCTCTGGGTAAATGAGTCCGGACGTTTCCGTCGCGCGCGGGCGAAGTCCCTGAAAAACTACACAGCCCGACTCACAACGCGGTCAACTTTCTCCCGGGCACTACAATTCCCAGAAGCCACGCTGCACCGCGGTGTGTTCTGGGATGGGAACCACGCCGCGTCCCAGCCTTGGCCGGAGGAGGGTGGCGCGGACCTTTCTACAACAGCTTTCTTAATTCCTAACGCTACCAATTTATTAGGCGATGGAAGTAGCGGCGAACTGCTCCCTGCGGGTGAAGAGACCTTTGTTGGACCCCCGTTTCGAGGGTTACAAGCTCTCCCTCGAGCCGTTGCCCTGTTATCAACTGGAGCTTGACGCAGGTGGGAAGCGGCGGGCACCCTCTTTGCACCCCTTTCCTTTCGGCTGCCACCTGCCTGCATTTTTCTGCTTTCCCTGAAGTCCGAGCTAGGCAGTCAGTGCGGCCTTGGCCTTTAGGAGGACCCGTCTGGCGGGGGTGGATCCAGGGTGCCGGCACCCCCCACCCCCGGGTCCCGCAGACAGCCGCTTTCCCGTGGCCCGTCTGTTCCGGAACTCTGGGCCCGAGCCGGTGTCTGTGGCTCCGGTTCCGCCGCCCAGCACTTGCTGGCGCCGTGGACTTGGGCTGCCCGGTAGCCCCGGCCCCGCCCTTGTTGCGGGCCGAGCTCAGGGCAGTGCATCTTCCTGCAGCATCCTCTGTAAAAGTTTCCGGTGAGGGACCACACTCCCTTAGAGAACCCCAGCTCTTACCTCCTCTGCCGGAAACCCCGGACTTTAAAGAGCACGTCCATTCCATTTCGGAACGTTTTCACTTACTCAAGTCGGAACGTCTTGAGAACAGTTTTAAAGTGTAGAGAACAAAGTACTTGGTTTCATGATAAGGGGTCCATACCTAAACCAAACCAACCGTCATGTGTTCGATTCCAACTCATAGCCACCCTGGACAGGATTTTCAAGGCTGTAAATCTTTACAGGAGCAAATAGTCTCTTCTTTCTCCCATTAGGGATTTGATCCTCCCAGATTTGTGGCCAGCAGCCCGATGCTTACATGGGCTCCTTCAGGACCCCGAAGACTTGGTACATGCCAGTGGATCAGTGTGAGAAATATTGATCAAGGCTTTTAGTAGACATTAGGGTAGAATATCAAATAGGTATTTGTTTATAAGTTCTATTAAAATCAGAAACTTCTGTGAACATCTGGTTTTGTGTTCCATGTTAAAGGACATCAAGATAAGTAAGACACCGTCTGTAATAAAGAAATGTTAGTAGAGGAACATGTGTAAATAGATAATTCTTAAACAATAAGGAAACCAAATCAAACTCACTGCCAATAAGTCGATGTCGACATTATAGGACAGGATAGAACTGCCTGTGGGTTTCTGAGACAGTAACACTTTACCGGAGTAGAAAGGGGTTTTGAACTGCTGATCTTATGGTTAGCAGCCCATTGCATAACCACTATACCACAAGAGCACTGTAAGCATTATAGAAAGGCAGTGATTAAAAAAGCAAAACAAAACAACCTAAACTCATTGTTATCAGCCAATTCTTTTTTTTTATTGAAATATTTTATAGGGGGCTCTTACTGCTCTTAGAACAATCCATACATCGTTGTATCAAGAATATTTGTACATATGTTGCCATCATTATTTTCTAAATATTGACTTTTTATTTGAGCCCTTGGTATCAACTCCCTTTTCCCCCCCCTCTCCCACCCTCGTGACCCCTTGGTAAATCATAAGTTTTTATTATTTTCATATCTGACCCTGACCACTGGACCGTCTAGATGGCTTGTTTAGGATGATTTCAGATGGTCTCTGCTTGTTTCTCCATGTGGTCTCTCATTCTTCAACTACTACTGCAGGTTTGTTCCTGTGGTGGTAGGATTTGAAGATCAGAGTGGTCAAACACATTTCACGTTGCTGCTTGGGAATGTTTACTGTTGTCCCATGGACCTTAGGAAATCATATAATGAAATTTAGGGGCAGTTTGGAAAGGTCATTCTACTTGGCATAGATCCAGAAAAGCATAAACAATTGGGATTGTTAGTCAACTCTTTGTGGTTGCTTAAGTCCAAAGCATCTTTGGGACATTTCTTGTCTTTTAGCCCCCTATGTACTCCGTCAACATACTCAGTCAGTGGAAGAGGGACTTTCCCATGTCTTCACTCTAGAGCATTGTTAATTGTAGGAAATAGTAGCTTTCTGCTTTCACCTTTAGGCTCTCTTGCCCCTGCCAAAACCAAAAACAAATTCACTGCTATCAATTTGATTCAGACGCATAGCTACCCTACAGGGGAGAGTAGATTACGTTTTGAGACTGTAGCTCCTTATGAGTAGATAGTCTTGTCTTTCGCCTGAAAAGCCTCTGGGAGTTTTGAACTACTGACCTTGTGGTTAGCAGCCCAATGACACTTAACCATTATTTCACCTGGACTCAACACTGACTTCTCCATGCCTTTAGTCTTGTCTAAAACATTATTATTTTTTATCCTAAGATAGAATAGTTGTAAAATCCACATTTATTTAATGCTTGCTTCCTTCATGAAATGATCAGCTCTGGGAAGATACAGGTGCTTTGCTTTTGCTCACTAAATCCCATCTGCCTGGTACTTAGTAAAAATCATGGGTTAGAATCAAGTCATTTGCAATTCTTGGACACACGGTGTGTGTACTCATTAAGCTGTGGGGCCAGTAGTGGGGAGTTGTTGTAGAGCACGCTCCATGGAAAAGTATGAATAAAAGGAAAAAATCAATAGGTTCTGTGCAGGATGCTGTGAGTGAGGGCCTTGGTTGTCATTTGAACTCTGCCCTTGAAGACCATGTTCTCTATGCTTTTTCATGGACCGTTGCAATAAAAAGTAAAGCTCACTTGTTGGATGTAAGATCACGATGCATAGGAATTGACTTATGGCCGTGTGTGTGTGTGTGTGTGTGTGTGTGTGTGTGTGTGACTTTGCCACTTTTTTATTTTGCTTAGTGGACATGTTTCATATAGACACCTTCATATGTTCACCCTTTCACTGCCCAAAAAGCAGGAAGTGAAATCTCCCAGGAAAACCATACCAAATCCGCTGCCTTCGAGTTGATGCTGGCTCTGTAGAACAAGGTAGATCTGGTAACTCTACAGAAGCCAATGCCTCATGGTTTTTTTTTTTCATCACAGAGCACCTAGTGGATTTGAACTGCCTGCCTCTCAGTTAGCATCCTAATGCTTAACCTGTGGCACCACCAGAGTTCCTCCAAAATAGATCACTAAATTTAATATGTTAACTTTATGAACATACCCTACGTTGCCCCCTTCCACCCTCATTCCACCAGTGTTGGCCCCAGTGCTTGTATTGGGGATGTACAACTGGAGGTGATGGGGTGCCACTCAAAGATGTCAGCATAGTAGGGAAATGAACAGATCATCTCCTGGCTCTGGAGATTGGGTTTGGAAGATGAGGGAATGAGAACCAGAGGACCCGTTTGAAGGGCAGGGTTTTGTAACATTTCAGGTAAGTGAGTTTGGTAAGGAATTACTTGAGGGTGATGAATAATAGGTTAATTCTTTTTAAAACATTTCTAAAGGTGCTTGGTCATCGAGCAGATTCCTGACTGCTGGGGACCCTGTGGGTGTCAGTAGGGTGATGCCCGCAGGCTTTCCTAGTTGTGACCTTTTGGAAGCAGAGCACCAGGCTTTTCTTCCAATACCTCCAGTGTGGTCATTACTGAGGAAGCTCTTCCTGACAGTGTGACCGTCTTCATGACCCAAGTGGTTCACTTTAATTTAGCAGTCTATTAGTGGCCTATCACCTCTGGTGTGTGCAGCATTTAATGCTCAATTTAGTGTTTGGACCTCAGGATGTGATGATGGAGATATGGCCAGTCTGAAAGAACTTGGAGCCCTGAGGTTGCTTCTCTTGCCTTAACATGTTGAGAACACATCTTCAAGGCCAGAGTTCAAATGACAACCAAGGCCCTCACTCAAGCTTACTTCTCTGTGTGTGTAACAGAATGAGATGTTACCGAGTCATATTTACTAGTTTGAGTTCAATCTTTATTTCACATTGTTCATGTGTCTGGTTACCACTCCCCCTCCTGTGCTGTGGCATCAAAACTGGCTCAGAGCAGTAAGTTGGACCACTGGTAGTACTCACATTGTTCCCCCCTTTCTTGAGGCCCATTATATTTTATTTAGTCATGTTTAGTGTCATGAACTGTTAATTTATATAATTTTATCTGGTTTATTTTTCTGGTTGTTTCAGATGAAAGGATAAATCTGGTCCCTCTTACTCCATCTTGGCTGAAAGCAAAAGTTGCTTAATGTTTATTTTTAAGTGGAAAAGTAAACTTGTTTTCATAGAATGGTGGAGCTAAAACTTGAAATGAGGGAATAAATGGTGAAAAGATTGGAAGGTTCTTTGTTTTTCAAAGACGTTGGAAAGTACAAGGGAGGAAAAGGCTCTGCTTAAGTGCAGGGCAAAGAGAGGGAAACTTCATTTGGGACTGCTGACAAGCTTTGAAGGCCCTGGATGCTGGGGGAAAAGTTGGAGACGTTTGGAGGTACTCGGTGAACGCCATTCCAGCCTGAGCCCGAGCTGTTCCGTGGAGGACTATGGGCCGGGTTGCTCCTCAAGGCCTAATTGCAGAAATCCAGTCTTCTGTTTGGATAGATCAGAGTCCCTATTGGAGCAGGTGCCGATCTTTTTTCCTCAGATGATCCAAGCTCATGGAAAGTTCAGGGTGGAAATGGCAACTGCGCCTCCTGGTTAGTTTAATTCTGAAAATGTTGAGGAGGCCTTTGGAAAAGTGATACGAATGGGCCTTGTGTTTGAGGTGAATTAGTCTGACCGGAAAGCAGAGAAGGAACCAGGTAAGTCCGAGCCCAGCTCAGACTTTGAGGATGAAGATGGCAGCCTCCCTTGCAAGGTGGCATCAAGAATATGACATTTCCTAATTCAGAAGGTAGAAAAGGCACAGTAGAAGTTTTGGACAGTCCTGCAAGTAAAAAGAAGATACTGTGTAATTAATGGTCTGAAAAGGAACAGATACTGCGTGCTTGCTGATTCTGCAAAAGAGCAAGTGGTTTGCAAGCATTTTGCTTTGCAGTTACCAGTGTAGCTCAATGTATGTTGGGTGTATTTTGTTTCAAGAGGAAAAAAAGCTGGCACTTAAAGAATCGTACTGCATGCAGACCTTGGAGACAATTTGCATATGGTTCCAGATGACTGCAATAAAACCAGTCACTTGCAGTTTTTGGTTTCCAATGTATATAATAGTTAGGTTTATATTAGGTTTTATACTGCAGACTTAAGTGTACAAAGCACCTGATAAAAAAGTTTAAAGTACTGTTGAGAATTACCAAAATGTAACTCAGAAATAAGAAGTGAGTACATGTTACTGGAAAAATAGCACTGACGAACTTGCAGGATACACGGTTGCCACACATTTTCATTCTGTCAAAATTGTGTTATCTGTGTTACACAATGAGACAAGGTAAGCTGCCACTTGCAGGTCAGACTGATCTTTGATCTCACACTAAAGGGATTTAGTGTTTGGAAAGCTTAACGTGCATGATGAGTGAATTTTTGGCATCTTCAACATGGACTTAAGAAATATCTGTTTAGAAAATGCAAATTACCTTTTTTTTGGGTTTTTTTTCCTAAAAGGATTTCATTGGATAACAAAGACTAATATTCAAGAATTTGACTTTCAGTACTAGAAATA